TTGTCTTTGATTATATAATGCTAACTTTGAGGATTTTAATCTCCCAATTACATTTGTTTTCCCTGACCCAACCCACTCCAAATTATGGGATGCAGGTAACAGTTAAATAATGCTTTACAAAAATACTCAAATGCGTCTCTGAATAAAAAAAGCTTAACAATAAAAGCTGCACTTATTTTATATCAGAAACCCCATTACTGCTTTGCTGATACGGATTCTCAGAAAACGAAGACCTGCCCCACAGGTTTCCCAAGGTTTATAAAACTTTACAAGAAATCAAAGCAACAACAAAAACGGGTAAGAATGATCAAAGGATATTCTAAAAAGGTTTTTCTCCCTAAACATAATGATGTGTTTAGATAACAAGCATATACCGTGCCATTCTTCATTCCCTGCTAGGAGCCTTGGTGGCTGTTCCGAGAGAAAGCTGGAGCGGTGGGGGGAGTCTTCTACTCCGGTACACAGATGGGATGACAGTGAATTTGGAGTTTCACTATTGCTGTTTTTAAGTGCCAGCAAGTCCGCTACCACCTACAGCGATGATACACACAACAGAATGATCCCTGTGCCAGCCTCACAATTTTTCCTATGCCTGATGATTGATTGTCCCACTAATTCAGGCACTGTCAATCCATCTCACTAACGGCCTTCCTCTTTTTCACTGCTCCTCCATTTACCAAACGTGAAGTCCTTCTCCAGGGACTGGTCTCTTCTGACACTATGTCCAAAGCATGTTAGACGAAATCTTGCCATCCTTACCTCTAAGTAGCACTCTGGCCTTACTTCTCCCAACAAAGAGCAGTCCTTTTCAGTCCATTCCATGGTACTTCCATTATTACTCTCCAGCACAATTCATATACATCGCTTCTTCAACGGTCTCCCTTATTCAAAATCCAACTTTCACAAGCACATGATGAAATGGAGACTACCATGGCTTGGATCAGGTGCACCTTGGTCTTCAATATCCTAAAGTGGTCTTGTGCAGCTGATTTACTAATGCACTGTCTTTTGATCTCTTGATTGCTGCTTCTATGAGCAGTGAGTATGGGTCTAAGCCAAGACAAAATCCTTTATAACTTCAACCTTTTCTCTGTTTATTATGATGTTACCAATTGGTCCAGTTGCAAGGATTTTGGTCTTCCTTGAATGGAGTTGTAATTTATAATGAAGACTATAATCCAAGATTTTCATCAGCCAGTGCTTCTAGTTCTCACTTTCAACAAGCAAGGTTGTGTCATCTGAATACCGCTGGTTGTTAAAAAAAAACACCTTTCTATCCTGATACTACATGCTTCTTCATACAGTCCAGCTTCGACGATGCGCTTAGATGTAACAAGTACAGAGAAGATACAACTGTGGCACGCCCCTTTCCTGATGTTAAACCACGCAGTGTTCTCGTTCTGTTTGTATAACGGCCTCTTGATCCATGTGCAAGTTCTGTAGGAGCCCAAGTGTTCTGGAATTCCTATACAGTAAACCCTCGCCACTTCGCGCTTTGACTTCCACGGCTTCACTCTATCGCGGTTTTTGCATAACAGTGCATGCTCTGTCATTACTGCCACTGATTGGCTCATACTGTACACGCTTGATGCCATAAATAATATAATAAATAATAAATGATAATTGTAACGTCCAAAATGTTTTACTGTATTTTCCCTTGTTCGTTTAATAAATTGGGTAATACGAGTGTAATGGTGACTAAAGGGTGTTTTTTCATGTCCTCTATGCTCTAACTACGAAAATATTTGATTTACAAATAAGGAATCCTACTTCGCGGAATTTCATTTATCACGGTAGGGTCTAGAACCAATTAACCGCGATAAACAAGGGTTCACTGTACTTTTCAAGATTATCCAGTTTATTATGATCCAGTCAAATGCCTTTGCAGAGTCAAAGGAATACAAGTATACATCTTTCTAGTATGCTCTGCTTTCAAGTAATACCAAATTTTACCCAACACCAGCAACAATATCCCTTGTTCCAAGTCCTCTTCTGAATCTGGCCTGAACTTCTGGCAGTTCCCTGTCAATGTACTGCTCCAACCATTGTTGGATGAACTTCAGCAAAATTTTACTATCGTTCTATAGTTTGAGCATTCTGTTGAGTCATCTTTCTTTAGAACAGACACAAATATGGGTCTCTTGCAGTCAGTTGGCCAGGTAGCTTTCTTCCAAATTTCCTAGCATAGGAGTGAGTGCTTCCAGTGAGTGCTTCCTCAACTTGCTGAAACATTTCAATGGGTATTCCATCAATACCTGGAACTTGTTTTGGGAGGAGATTCACTACTAGGGCACAAAAAAACAGAAGGGTAAGTCTACTCTCCTACAGGGTCACTATGAGTAGAAATTGGCTAGCCAGGGGAGTGGGTATACCATAGTGAATATAATCCTAATCAAGACTAGTTTGTTTTGTTATGCTAACAAGGTCAACCAAATCATATCAGTATCTCACCAACCCAAACTCAGGGCCATGGAGTCAATTCTGATTCAGAAACTCTACAGAACAAGGTAGATCTGTCCCTGTGGGTTTATCTTTACATTAACTGAAAACCATCTTTCTCTAGTGACTTGACTAATGATTGTGACTGCTGGTCTTGACTTTCGTTAGCAGCCGAACACCTAATCCATTATGCTACCAGAATGGAAAAGACTTATAGAATATGATGAATATTTACTATAACTAAAACATGGTAAATTGGTAACCTTTTCTTTAGTTGGATCAAGTTCTAATAATAACAAGCCCCAACCTGGCAATGAAAGGGCAGAATATATCTGCCCACCTCCCTCCTGCACCCATGCACTCTCTCTACAAGTAGCTGTTACACAGATCTATCAAATATATGAAAATGCAAAAATCAAACGGCGACCCAAAGCTGGTCTCTTTTAATGATAATGTCTATATGCAAAAAAAAATCTATAATTACAATAATTTACTTTAAAATATCACCTTACCTATCAGTTCATCACAGACAGGATATTATTTTAATCGAAAAGTTTAAATTCCCTTACCAAATATCTGGAATCTGGAGTTACATAAAAAGTTAAGCAGGGCAAAAAAGAATGTTTCACTCTCCTGGGTCTTAGCTCTAAAAACGCTTAACAGCTCTTAAAAAAAACCTTCATTAGTTCAAATATTTATACACCTGCAAAGCTATGGACACAATTAGGAAACGGGGACACAAAGATGACATAAAAAATACATGTGTAGGAAAGAAAAGAGGATCATTCCATGTCAGTTTGATAACATATGCAGCAGCCAAAATTCAATCTAGGAAATATATATCACACTAACAATAAGGACTTCAGTATTGCTAGACTAGAGCATGGTGTGCAGTGCCTTAAGAAAGTGTTGATTTGGATGCCTACGCTGAGATCAAATTTTCAAGCATTCAAAACTAGAATTTAAACTTTTTGCCCAAGGCTGCACATCAGAATCACCTAGAAGACTGTCAAGAAGGAACAAGCAAAACCAAAAAAACTAGTTGAAGGGGTAGGAGTAGGGGGAAGAAGGCTCATCTCCAGAACAATTAAATCAGAATTTCTGGGACCCAAGTAGAATTGTTTTTAAAACTCCCCAGCAGGTTCTTCTACATACAACTCAAATCACACGGGTCACTACAATAGGCAAAAGAGACTATCAGGTGGGAAAGTGATACAACATTTGTTTTCAGGAAGACAGCTGGAAGCATGATGGAAGATGAGCTGTAAGCTAGGGAGAGTGGCAGGGAGTTGAAAGTGGCTTTGAAGTAAAGGCAGAAGCAAGCAGAAACACTAGTCAGGGATACGACAGGTAGAATCAGCAAGTATTTAGATTTCAACCTTGAAAACCTTAAGAAGGAAGAGAACTTCAGTTTGAACAATGATTTTTAAATATGTCCGAAGGCATGTAAGGAAAATTGGGGCTCCAAGCACAATCAGTGATAACATGAGTAGATGTCATCAACCACGTAGAGCACAAGTAGAGCAGTACTTCTAAATCAACATGCATGATGCAGACTACTGGGCGCCCAATCCAGACACACAAAACAAGACACTTAGACGGTGAAAAACGCTGAGAGTCACTCATGTACAGATGGCACAAAGATTCCAGGAGGGAACTTTGGTCTGGCCCAACACCTTTCCATGCAACAGGCACTGGGCCAGAACTGGCTATACAACTGTTGTTGAGGTTTTTAACTTATTTCCCAACAGTATCCCCAGAGAAGTCCTAAGTGTGCTAGTCTGGCCACACTTTACACTTACGCTGTGAAATCTGCCGCTGCAGTAGCGGCTTTGGTGGCATCCTTATTCAGTGTTGCACCCCAAACGGCTCCCTTATGACCCAAAAATGTTCCAATCCAGTCTCCAGTATCTCCCTGGCGAAGCATAGGTTTACCATCTACAAGACAGGTTAAGAGGCATGTGATTTACAATGTCACATTATTTAGCACAATCAAAACATAAATAACAAAGTGGAAAACGGTGTTTGTTGTTTATGCCCCGCTCACTGGGGTCACTAAGGAAATGTCCAGAAATAAATTAACTGAAAGGACAAAGCCAATCAGTCTCCCTTCCAATTCGGTGGGAAGAACACTTGTCTGGGGCAAAACCATCTGGATGTTAATCCCTAATTTATGGACAAAGTTATTAAAACAAAATCTGTTTCCGTTTCAAAAATGGGACTAGTGAGTACCACACAGGACGGTCCAATGAGATCATAGGCGCGAAAGCCTCTGAGAATCACCAATCACTCGACCGATAGGGCTGGTAAACGGCCTGGCCTTGCTGCTCCTCTCCCCCAAATTCCCAACCACATTAATGCCAGCGTGGGTGAAATGCATGGTGGCTTCTTCCGAAATAGCAAGAAAAAGAACACGAGAGGCCTGGTAGGGAGTAATATGTCGCCGAATCAGGGGCGTTAGAATGGGGTAGCTCAATTCCAGGGACCCCTTTCCCCACCAGAGCGGGGTCCCCGATCCG